TTTGCCATTCTTTTAGTTGTTACGCTAGAATTTACAGCATGACTCACCACTGTCTAATATTAATTACTACTTTTATTGTCTTCCCAGTCACTGCGAGGACCTTCTTAATCTACCTGCGAACCCCGGGCCGCTGCAGCGGAGCGTGTGCACTTAGCCGCTATGCCACCGGGTCGGCCCCTGTGTCTCTTCTCTTTGATATCTTCTCTCTTTCTTCTTTGTGATGCCTTCCTAAGTACTTTTTTTGGACTAGCTTACACTGCCCTAATTTCTCTGCTATTTTAAATCCTGTTTAATACATGCATTGAGGTTTTAACTTCAGTCATTGTAGTTTTTATTTTTGAAACTTCTACTTGCTTTGTTTTCAAATCTTCTTGGTCATTTTCATGGTCTCTTGATCATATTTTCAAACCTCTATTTTGTGACTTTTAACATATTAAACATTATTGTTTCATATATTGTATTTGTTTTCAGTATCTGAAGTCTTTTGTTTCGGATTTTGGTGTTACTTCTGCTGGCTCTTACTCGTGATGCTGTGTGTCCTTCTGTGTTTTGCAGTTTTAATATGATCTCATGTTCCTTGGAGTCTTTGTGGAGAGTACAGATATCTGAGTTGAGACTGCATGTCCCTAGAGAGGATTACTGCTTGAGTCACCTCAGGGTACTACCAACCTGGGATCTCTTTTTATTAAATTTTATGCTGAGGCTTTTCAGACTACACTGGTAGCGTAAACTCAGATGATAAATTCCCCTACCAGGCACCAGGATCATGACAGGCAGAGTTCTTTGCATCTGCTTGTGTATAGTGCATTCAGCCTTCTTTCTTTTTTTTCTTTCTCTTTCTCTGTCTTTCTCCCTCAATTCATCCTTACTCTGAGTATGTAAGTTTTATGCAGTGCTTTCCTATTAGAGTCTTCTCCTGGGGGGGCCTTAGGCTTTACCTTCTACCTCTCCTGCAGATAATGGACAGAAGTTCAAAATTTCAGTATTTGGCAGAAATTATTAGAGTGAAAATTGACTTTGGAGCTTAGTAACTCTCACAGTTCTTGCAATATATTTTATTTTACACTCTGTTTCCTTACTTTCATGTCAGCCTAGTGGTGGCTTTCTCTCTCTTTTTTTTTTAAAAAAAAAGAAGGTTTTTTGGGGGCTAGCCCGGTAGTGTAGTGGTTAAGTTTGCGCACTCAGCTTCGGTGGCCCGGGGTGCTCAGGTTCGGATCCCGGGCCAACGCACTGCTTATCGAGCCACGCTGTGGTAGCGTCCCATATAACATGGAGAAAGATGGGCAGGGATGTTAGCCCAGGGCCAATCTTCCTCAGCAAAAAAGAGGAGGATTGGCAACAGGTGTTAGCTCAGGGCTGATCTTCCTCACAAAAAAAAAAAAAAGAAGGTTTTAAAAATTGTTTATCTAGTATTTAACTTTTTTTAAAGGCAGGTGGTATTGCTAGAAAAAGAATCATACTGTATATTTTTTTGTAAAAAGTAATTCCAAGCATTTTTCCATAACTTTTATCTTCAAAATGCTAATTGATATAATTAGCTTTCTTTTCATATTTATGTCACTTTTGTGCAATAACAACAAAATGAGGCTAGCTAACACTTACTGAATAATTACTATGTCCCAGATATTGTTTTTAAAGGTTTTATATGTATTAACTCATTTAATCCCCTCAGCATCTTTATAAAGTAGATACAATTATTATTCCCATTTTACAGATGGGAAACCTAAAGAACAGAGAAGTTGGGTAAATTACTGATGCTAATAAAAGAGGGAAGGAACAAGAACTATTTTTAAATTGTAAGCTATTAGATTAATAAATAATTATTCTTATGCTAGAGTGAAAAAAAAGGTTGTTTTTCTTGCTACCTAGCTATGGATTTGTATTAAGAATCTGTCACTCACTATGTCTCTGCTTTAGAAAAACAAAAAAAAAGGGCACAAAATGGGATATTTGTTTTTACTTATTTTATTTTAGTTTTAATTTATTTATTTTATGGTCTTGTTTTTATTTTTATTATAAATGTATTATAGATCCATTATAAAAGTAATCAAACAGAAAGCCTCCTTTTATTCTCTGTAGCTCCCCCTTTCCTTCCTGTCCCCACATCATATGGAGCCACCGTTAACGGTTTGGAGTACGTCCTTCGGAGGTTTTTTCAATAGAAAAACCTATATGTGTGCTGTTTGTACCTGTGTAAGTTTAGTAATAATTATATATGCATACACACACCTATTAATTCCTGCAGTTTAGTTTTTCACTGTGTCTAGCTTTGAGCCTCTGTGTTGAGGGCAGAGGTATTTGTGTGGGTGTCCTCGTAATATTCTCATTGTTTTCTGAAGCTGTATTATGTTGCAGAGCGTTTCCATTTAGATTTTCCCCTTTATTTAGATATTTATTTTATTTATTGTCCTATTAATGATACTGAGCCTATTTCCTTTTTTACTTACTACAAACCATCCTGCAGCAGACATCCATGCCCCATCCCTGTGTCCTTGCGTAAGGATCTCTGTGGGTTAAATTTCTTGCCGTGCCATGCCTGGGGCAATTGTTGAGCCCGTATAACATTTCCAGAAATGTTGTGAAGTTGCCCACAAAACAGTTCTACCGTGGAAGAGAGAAGTCAGGAATGGGCCTACCTATATGTAGAAATTGAGAATAACAAAGAAAACAGTATGATAAAAGAGTGGTGAAAACACTGGTTATTCAAATTTATGATGTCAAGTCATTGGGCTGGGGGAAGTCTTTTATAAGCACTACCAAATCTAGAAATTGACAAGGAAAAACATTGATAAATTGGGTCATGTAAAATATATAATTTTTCTATTTAAAAAAATTATAAACTAGATTAAAAAAAAGAAAGCAACAAACTGGAAAAATGTTTGTAACAAATATGACAAAGGACTGATTTCTTTAGTATCCGAGAAAATATTTTATTTGAGGGAAAAGTCAAGCAAAACAGCTCAAGGGAAAATAGACAAATAGTAACTTTGCATTTTTTTGAGTTTTTATAATGTGCCGGAAACAGAGCTAACCATTTTAAATGCAAATTCTTATTTAATTGTAGCAAAACTCTATGCTATAGGTATTACTATTATTCCCATTTTATAGAGAGGAAATTATTGCTCAGATTGATTAAATCACTGTCTTGTAGTTACTCAGCTTATTAGAGATAGAGCCTGAACTCAAACCCATGCCAGTTTGCTTATAAATCAGTTTTCTTGAGCACTTTTCTTATTTCCTTCCCCTGGCAAGGAAATAAGCTGGAAATCACCAAGAAACAAATAGAAATGACCAGCAAGCATATTAAAATGTGTTCAAATTTGCTTATAATTTAAAGAAGTGAGAAATTAAATATACACACATACACATATAATATTGTATATAATAATATATACTATATATTATATATAATGTATATAATATATAATATTGTATCTCTCCATAAGCAAAGATTAAAATTATTAATAACAGTCTTTAACAAGAGGGGGTGGTATAACTGGATTTCTCTTATACTGTTGATAGAATTGTGACTATTTACACAAATTAGACCATCTCTCTCAGCCTCAATTTGCTCATCTGTAAAATGGGGATAATCCTTACCTGGAAAAATTATTGTGAGCATTACAGTCTAGATACATGAAAAATATTAGCACAATGGCACATATTAAGTGCCCAATAACTATTATATAGCCAGCCCTGGTGGTCTAGTGGTTAAGATTCAGGGCTCTCACAGGAGGCCCAGGTTCGTTTCCCGGTGAGGGAGCCATACCATCTTTCTGTTGGTTGTCATACTGTGGTGGCTGTGTGTTGCTGTGATGCTGAAAGCTATGCCACCAGTATTTCAAATACCAGCAGGGTCACCCATGGTGGACAGGTTTCAGCGGACCTTCCAGACTAAGACAGACTAGGAAGAAGGACCTGGCCACCCACTTCCAAAAAAATTGGCCATGAAAACCCTATGAATAGTGGAGGAGCATTGTCTGATATAGCGCTGGAAGGTGAGAGGATGGCACAAAAAGACCGGGCAGGGTTCTGCTCTGCTATACCCAGGGTCGCTAGAAGTCAGAATTGACTCTAGGGCACTAAAACAAACTGCTATATGCTACTGTCCCAAGAGCCCCCAGCATCCTCTCCCCTAAAAAAGACAACCAAATCTTTTATCTCTTTGTATTCCCAGCACAAGGCAAAGGGTCAAGAGACAAATATATAAGTGAAGATGAAAGTCAGGAAGTCAAAATTCTCTAGGTACTCATAGGCTCTCATCAGAGCATTGGATTTGCAAATCATTTTCTAGGACTGTGCAAGAATTTCCACAGTGTATTCAGTTCCACAGCCCACATTCTATATCTTCGTTTCCACACGAGTCAAAGCAGGCAATAGACACAATGAAAGGATCCAGGCACCTTGTGAAAATAATATGTAGTAACATCACCTACATTATCTATGGGTTGGTGGTATCATGGTTTATAGTCAAATGCTCCCAGCCTATTTCAGGGCTCTGTTAGCCTCCTGGGGTAAATAAGTCTGGAAATTCTAAATACAAGTTGTTAGAAATCACAAAAGCCCTGAAGCACTGTAACAATATCCTTCCTTTCTTAAATGTTTACTGGCAACCATGTATCAATTGAGAGAGAAATACTGACTTCGAAGTGACCTAACTAACCTTTAGTTTTGAAGATCTCCATGCACAGAGCCATCGTGACAATATTGCAGTTTTTAATCACTTTTGAGAGCCAAGTCTTCTCTTAGGAACTATTGGTTCCAGGAAGGCAAAGTCACCAAGATTCTGACAAGTGGAATGGCAATCAGTCTTGTGACTTTCTCCTCAAGAATGTTTTCCAGTGCCCGATCAGTTTAGCATGCTTTTATCTGCAGATTTTTAAAGAAACTTTTCCAACAGACCTTTTTCATTTGTCTAACTAAGAAATAAACATGGCAAAATGAATACATAGCTGTTCTCGAGCATCAGAGAAAATGACATTTGTGTGGTTTGTCTACAGCACATTTAACTGGACGGTCCCGTTCCTTTCCTTCCTGGCCTGTTTGATACTGGCAGTAGCTACCATCACTTTGTATTTCTTTCCACTTCGGTACATCATTTTAATCTGGGGTAAGTTTGGCACTATCCTTTTGCTAACAGGCAATTCCAGGTAAGAACCAATTACTCATTTTTAAAGTGCGACTATAAACTTTAAATGTGCTCTTGTTGGCAATTAAACATGAGATGAAGGAAAGCATTTTGGGAACAAAAACTTCTAGGACCTCCCTGAAAAGACCAGTTGCATGAACAATCAACATAGATATTTATAGGCCTCTTGCATAATTGTAATCAAATAAAAATGTGATTGTGCATGCAATTTCCCTTTGGGCTTTCATAGCCATAAATACTCTTGAATAATATATTGCTGTGGCCCAGTAACTTTCAGGAAACACTGTTATTTAAACAGTGAGCAAACACCTGCATCTTGCCCTTTATATTATGTAAAAGTAGATCTGGCCGCTGCCAGGTTGCTCCTGACACTTCAGCTCTCCTGGAGGAGAAAAATAATCTAACCCAATACTTAAATCCAGCAGCAGTGAGGGGGAAGGGGAGGGGCACTCGGTGACTACCTAACCAGTGTCTGAAAGGAGAGGAAGTTGCTATTTACTGGGGGAAATGGTGTGCCTATGTAAAGTTTAGCTGTTTTAAAAAAGTAGAAACAAAAATGGCCAACTCGAAATAAATTCCATGACTTGATTTACTACTCAAGCTAGCAACTGGAAAAAATACAAGCAGCTTTGTGAATATTTGTGTCTGTTGCTGGGTGGGCTCTGGGTTGATATAAGGAAAGTTCATTGCAGTAAATTAATTGTTGGAGAAGCAGTCAACCCTTCTCCATAAGAGTCTGTCAGTCCTGGTTTCCATTACTTGGCTCCCGTGACTACTGCTGAGTTCTCAACCGTAGTCACTGGTAGGGATCTTCAGATGTTAAGATGTTCAGAGAAGTTGCAAATGTTAAGTGACTGCGTTGAGATGCATACATCTTTAAGCAAGAGCTGAAAGCCTGCAAATGCCAGATAAAAGCTTCAACCTTTCTAAAAAAACTAAATGTAGACCTTTTCAAAGAGAATCCACAAAGGTAGAATCCTGCTGCCAAGAAAAGCCAAACCTAGACATTCATAAATGGGAAAAGGCATGGGGAGAATAGAATAACTCATAAAATTTCAGAGGTAGAATGATTTTGAGAGAACATAATCCATTCATTTTCTATTTTGTCCAGGAGGCAAAAATCCTGTATACAGAAGTCTCTCTTCTTTGTAGCAAGCCCAAGAAAAGAAAAAGTTATTCTGACTCCCTCTTCAGGGACCTGTTTTAATCCTTGATGACCCTCACTCTTGGGGAAAGTCTTCTTATATTCATGCTCAGTTTTGTTTGTTTCTCTGCTTTGTTTTGCAACAATTCTAGCACAGAATTTTTTTCCATATTTGACCTTTAGGAGAGCATGGGGCTCTTCAGGGGCCCATTGATTAAGAAGAAATATTTTGTATAAGTATTTCCCTGAATACCTTATATACTGAATGTTATCTGTATAGACTGAATAATTTTATTCTCTCTTGTTTTTCCTAAGTATTAGTTTCCAAATCCATTTACTGATCACATTTAAAACACAGATCTTAAAACTGTTGTCTGACCCTAAACTGAACATGCTTCAAAATTGCAATCATTTGTGTGTTGTTCATTTTTAAGTTTATGTAAGTTGATGGCATGGTCAGCTTGTTAAATACTGTTGCCCCATGATTTCTTCACCATTCTGGTGCATGCTTGGTTTGCTTTTCTGCATCTTTCCCTCCACAAAGAAGACTAAACTGTATTTCCTCCTTTGATTGTCAATTTTGGGATTCAAATTTTTTTTTCTATTTACCCCAAATCGCTTTGACTTCTCATCTTAGCCTCCAAGATCTTGGCAGCTTTCCAACACCAACTTTTTGCATCTACTTAATGAGACATTGCTCTATTTGTTGTTCAGCTTATGGATGAAATTATTCAAGAGCATGGAGTTTATTACGCGCTCCTGGACTGACAGTAAGCCTTTGAGCTCATCCTGTGAACCCTGCCATGCCATCATGAAATATATTCTGCAATTCTATTAAAACATTCTTTTCCAAGATAAGTTAGTTACTAGCTAGCACAGAACCAGGACACGCCTCAGCACATCTCTTTTATGATTGTATCCTTGGCAGAGACTTTCTCATGTAGAAGAAGATAACATTACATGTCTTAAACTTCTAGTGTTCCTTTTAACTTGATTAAGGATCAGAAGACTATTTCTTATTCTAAGTTACTTATTCATTTTCATTGAGTCCTAAAAGTGGTGAATAAGCCCCTAAATTTTTTGGTTCAATGTTTTTAACCCTTTGGAACAAAATTATTTAACTATCTCTCTTATATTTCCACATTCTATACACTCAATATTTTATATAAATGTTTATTAAATATCAGAATTATTTAACATAAGTCTATGAAAACAGATTAATTTCATAATGGCCGTGGGGAATATTCCTTGACTCACCCACTTCATTGCAAGGTTTGAAGGATGCGACACTTTCTTTCCTCTTAACCCTATAATTCCTGGCACAGCTACATAGAGGTAATAGATCTTTAATGAGTACTTGACAAATGCTTTCTGAGTGGGTGAGTCTTCAAGCTTAATACCTGTGATCTACATAGATGGCATTTTTTTGAGCCCACCACCTCTCTTGTGTGGGAGTATTAATTTTTGAAAATTGAGTGAAAAGTGGTTTAAGAGGAGTATCTAAAATTTTCTTTAAGAAACTGTGTCTCCTGAATTTTGGTTTCTTAGTTGATGTACGTATTTCTAGACAGCAAGGCATATCTTAGGACTAGATCCCATGTGGGTTTTCTGTCCCTTTTGAGAGGTTTCCCATATTCCTTCCATTCTGTTCTTTGTCATGGCTGCTTAATTGTAGTTTTTCAGTTCTGATCTGAGCCACTTCTGTTTTTCTAAAGTAGATATGAACTCCCCATGCTAGATTTTGAGCTTCTTGAAAGAAGGCATTACAACTTATTTAACCTTGTGTCTCCATTTGGTAGCACAATATCTCTTCCTACATGGAAGATGCTCAGTGTTTGATAGATGAGCAAGCAAGGACCCTCTGCCCCACCTCACCCACCTCCACCAATGCATTGCAGGCAGGGCTACATGCCAGTCACTCAAATAAGTATCTGAAAAATAGAGTTATAATTCTGTTTCAAGTGGTGTTTCTCTGGTGGCCATATGTGCAAAGCAACCATGCAATTGTTCCTCTCTCTGACTTTCTCCAAGTGGTTTTTTAAACTTGGGAGCTCCTTTCAATCCACTGATCTATTCAATCTCTGATCTGAGACCATGAAATCAGTGTCTCTCCTAAATGTTATCTCTTGGTATTTGGATCCCATTTAATTTTTTTTTCTTTTGCTACAAAAATAAATAAAAATTCACAGCAGACATTCCCTCTATCTGTATTGCTTAAGTTAAAAAATCTAAAAGTATGTCTAGCATGCTACTGGATAAGCCACAACTTCCAAATTTGGGTGTGTGATCACGTGCCTAATAGTATATAGACTCTTCCATCACTGCTGCCTTTGTTTTCCTGGCTTACTGACATCTGCAGTAATGATGGGAGCCCCCTTCATTGTTGAGGAATTTCAGATTGCACAATCCTCTTGGCTGTGTTGTCCAGTGTGATTCTCCCATCAACCTCGGAAACTATATAGGAAAAGTCTTTATTATTCAGATTTTCATATAAGAAATTTGAGGCTTAGGAAGGTTAAGTGATTTGTCTGAAACCACACAGCTAATACATGGTGAAGCCAGAACTGGGGCCATAACCCTTGTTCCTTACCCCTCGGCCCCTTAAAGATGACCAAGGATTACACGATCCCCTGTTGACACATGATTTCACACAGTAGATAATACAGTGGAATTACTGACATTTGAGCCTGTGACCCTTTAAAGAAGAATAAGGTGTGCCTCTGAAGCATGGAATCTGAGTGCCTTATAATTTTTATTCTAACGAAGTTTTTCTAATATAGACAGTCTCTATTCATTGTGGACTACTTCTGCCCTTACTGGTGCATTTGAGCTACTGTGCAGGTTTATAATCTTCTCAGTGACTAAGAATGCAGTGTTTTGATCAGCTGTGATATTATCCCTGCCTTGCTGTTCATTGTAAAGACTCCAGATGCGCACACTATATATAATTAACAATAGAAGATATATCTTTTCTCAATATGTCTTTGTCTCCCTTCGTCATTTTGCCTCATCTGTTTTCTTTTGCCAAAAATCCCATGCTACAATTAAATGTCTTTAGAATAATACAGTGAGAGTATTTTAGTTTAAAGGAACGCTGGGGGAAATTTTAGCTGGAAACATGAAGCTTGCTGTGGGGGTAGAGGGAAAAAAGACATAGTGCAGCTTTGACTGGAGAGAAAGGGGATCACTTGCAAGAAGTCTTCCTCAGCCCAACCAGCACGCTGCCATTGACTTGTGAACAATGGCTGGCTCCCATTTGCAAAGCAAATGTAAATCTGACCCTCTCTAAAGAAAAGACTGGAGGATGGTATTGTGTCAGGTATAATGCCATGCAGGATATCTCATCCTTAGATGAAAGCAAAATAATATTTAATGAAAGAAGAAAAACATCAAACCTTTTATGTGTTGGGGACCGTTGAACAGTTAAATGTTACCTTGACTTCGGAGTGGGAGCCAGTCAAGGTACACCTAAGGTGAGAATTCACTGGGCATCGTTGGAATTGACAAGGCGTTCAGATATGATCCTTGTTAAACAAGCATTCTGTGGCAAAACTTCAGAAGGCCACCTAGTCTTTCTGCTTCTAATACTCAGCATGATAAAGGGTTGACATTTGGTGAAAACACCACAGTTTATGAGCTCTGGATCCAGGCACCGCAGCTCCAAGGGGCAGAGGAGGAGACAAAAGGTGGTTGAGAGGAGCTCCCCTCTGAAGAGGAACCATGTGCAGAACTTGTCCTGGACACGCCCATGAGCACAAGGCACAGCCACCAAAGAAGGATGCTCTACAGCATATTGACATGTTACATGTTGAACCCCCTTCTAATTATCACTGCCCCTGTCCTAAATTAGCACAGACTCCATTGCTTAGACAAACCCACGCACTAGTGTTGCGGTCCATAAATTAAGTTAGCAACCATAGTATGATAATTTTCCAATAATAACTTTTCACAGTTTCCTGCAGCATCAGAGTACAATCAACATGTCAAGTTCTGTTCTGCAGTGAGAGAAGAGAAACCTGTGAAAATGAGTTGGAAGGGGGGAGATAGATTTCTGCAGTTTCTTTTTAACAACAAAAAAACAACTCCCACCCTCCACCTCCCACTGCTACATTTGGTCCAGGGGCCCCAAGCAGAGACTTGTTTGGGCTAACGAAGGCCTTTTCCCATCTGGGACATTTGTTTCCCAAGCAGAGGAGGCTGTTAATCAGCATAGTCCAAAAAAACCAAGGAGCTCCACAGTTTTAGTGTGTGTTTCTGCCACCCTGCTGCTGGGATTGTAATGGGATTTTCACAGCTGAAGCAGGCAGAGCCTGTCTCTGACAATCCCCTCTTCCTTCCTTCAAGAAAAGGCATTTGTGAATGATTCCACATGACAGCAACATGTGCCTGACTTGAGGTCTAGCAATTGTTTTCACACTAATTTTTACTTGTGAATGCACCCCTCCACCTAGTCAGGTGAGTTTTTAAAGATAGATAGACAGACAGATAGATAGACAAACAGACAAAGAGATCTCTCGGTGTTTCTATTTTTCAGGCATAAATAAATTTACTAAGAAGCTTCGAAATCCCTATGCCATCGACAATAATGAGCTACTAGACTTCCTCTCCAGGGTACCGTCTGATGTTCAAAAGGTATGTAATGAACAGTCACCACCAACAGGGGCCCCGACACAGAAGTCTGGCCAGCCCCAGAGCCAGAGGAGCACAAGGCTCTGCTTGTGTGAGTAATTGAGATAACGAATCAGAAAATCCTTAAAGAGGTCTGGCTTGCAGGGAGGTGGCAAGAAAACCTTTGTCCAAAGCATGAGATGATTGGGGAGAATTATCCTGAAAAAGAGCTGCTTAAGAATGATCTGGAACTCATAATGCATGGCTATAGTGCTGTGGTTTTTGTCCTTTTTTGATTGCTTGCCACTCCAAAGAGGATAAGATGGGCTCAGGGAGTGGGAGAGTGTGAGGTCCAAAGCTGGGGGAGGCTTGCTTATTTTCCTCCTCTTCCGGATGGCAGGCATTTTATGGGAAGGAGGGGACAAGAGGATTACTCCTTTTATTCTTGTTTGCTCCGATTATCTCCTAGGCCTCCCTTCTGCCCCTTTCCCTATAAAGACTTAGGGATACTGAGGGCAAAGCCCCACTTACTCTCATACACATAGAGGCAAAGACGGCATGAAATAATTTGAGATCAATCAGAAGTATTATTCACAGGTAATGGTCAATTAGTCCAGCAGAGTTCTGTTTCTGTGGATATGTAGAGATTAACCAAGGCAACAATACCAGAAAGTCCTGTAGGTAGCCCAATCTGGGCCCCTGCAGATCAGGCTGCTGTACATCCAGAGAAAAGAGGGCAGGCAACGATTTCTCTAATGGAGAATAGAGATCATAGAATAGGTAGATGGAGAAACCATGGCATGAAATATCATCACAATGATCAAAGACACAATCCTTTATTATCTGAGAGAATCACAAATCAAATCTTGATTTTAATCTTTGGGCCACTGTAATACAGTTGGTTCCCCAGCAGCTCTGGGTGGATTGCAGAGACGTAGTGCTAAAAGGCCCTCGAGTTTCTTTCCCCTTCATTCCAAGTTCTAGACATTAAAGTAGACTACAAAATGCTATTTTCCTTTAACCTTCATTTTATGATGTGATTATCTATTAGAATGCATTCTATAAATATGAAGTTATTCATTAACATTTGCATACATGATTATAAAATAGTAACCTGGCCCTGTTGGTTTTGCATTGAAGATTGACAAGTATGTCATCCCCTGCTCCCCTAGGGGACTTGCACAAAACACTCTAAGGAAAGCATACTTTTTTTCATATACCTGCTTTTGACCAAGTATAGCTCAACTTATGTGATGGGGCATGATGTCCTTGGGGAGTTGGGCACAAATGCTCACAATAGTGAGCACATGTGGTCTGTAATACAATACTTTAAATAAAGCCACTCCAACATCAGCCTATCAAAGTCCACACACCAAAGCAATACGATTGCAACGTACCATCACTTGCATGGCAATGTGAGTTCATGCCTGCGTTCCTAAAGAATGGAAATTTCCATCAAGCCCCCCAAGGATTATCTGTGCACAGTTCAGACACCAGCCCTCAGTGCCGTCGTCCAGTTGGAGTTGGCATGAATACAGAGGGCCACAACAAAAGAGCTTTCGAAGAAGATATACAGTATGCTAGTAAGATCCTCCGTGAATCGCCAAGAGCACTTTCTAATAATACAACAGACAGTTTGCCACTGGGGACCCCCCGAGTGCTCATATTTATCACAGATGTTTTAGCCATTACACTGTAAATGAAATTCATTTTTAAGAGAAATCTATATAAGTCTGGGGCCAGTATCAATTTCAACATTTTTCCCTCTCTGGCAAAATAAATGTATATAATTTGCAGAGACTTTTTTCCCCAAGATTTTAGATATTTTTAAGTGACTAATTCTTAGTAAGTTGCTGTATCATATACTAAGATAAACATTCCCAAGAGGCAGTTATTAAGCTCACTTATGGTGGAAAACAGGCACGCACAAAACTAAAATCATCTAGCAGTGCCCAGAGCAGGTAGAAACCCATGCATCTCATTAGAAAAATCTGCTTTTAATATTTTGGTTTCAAGAAATGATGCATGACTTCTCAAATCCTTCCTGCAATTAATCCCTCCATGTTCCTGTGTTTAGAAAATGATTCATTACCTTTGAACCTTTCCTCCCTTGCCTTGGTTCGTCCTTGGGGAGCCATTAACACACACTGTGGGGAGCTAGGGTTACCTAACCGCCAGCGTCACGTCTGTTTGTTTTCACAGGTGCAGTACGCGGAATTGAAACTCTGCAGCAGCCAAAGCCCCCTTCGGAAGAAGCGCAGCGCGCTCTAGGACACACAACGACTTGCGACACCAGCACCGGATCCTGTGTTTGGTTGATTAGACCAATACTGTCGCTCTTTCAGTGGTACCCGTGGTGTCATTCCGAAACGCGTCTGTGTGCAGCCCTCTCGCATTTGCCTCCCTTCTTCACGCGCCAAGATGCACACACGCGCGTGCGCACATCCGCATGCATGGGCGCCCTAGTGGCGTACCGGTTCAGCCCAGCAGAAGGAAACAGCCCAGAGACTATGAAAGACTTCCATCCCTTCTCAAATAGGAGACAAAGCAGGGCTGCTGTGGGTCTGAACACCCTCCTTGAGAACGGCCAGGAGACCACTTGGATTCGAGAGTGACTTTGAACTTGTTCTCACACCTCCAACAGATTCTCATTAAGATTCAGTGCTTTCCACACTCCTTTCAGATTTTTGTTCGTGCGAGTCAGTTTTTTCTCTGAGTTAACAAGCCTTTGATAGCCATCATCTACCCAAATAATGTATATTATAAATAGATTTTTTAAATAGCTACCAAGTTTAGCCCAGATTGAGAATCTTTCAGCTGTGATTACTGAAGACCTATATGTAAAATTTCAGTAAACGCCTCGCTGCTGGATCCAGTCTACATCACGGTCCACTGCTGGTAATGGATGCCCCAGGAAGGGCCAAAGGGATCCCTCATCCGAAAAGTCAAGTTTTCATGAAAGTTTTTGGTTGCCTTAAAACACCATTTCTTCTGACTTTACTTTTTGCTTATTTCCAGAATAAAATGTCAATATTACAGCTTCAGGAAGGAGGGGAAGGGATGGATGAATGAACTTTGAGAGTATTTAGAAAGATAAAGAAGAGGAGCAAAGGATGAATAAATGTGGCTGCTTACCTGATTGTCATAATCAATTCCTTTGCCTGCCTTTTTGAGCAGAAGGTAAAAATATTTTAGCAGTCCAAATTGATCTTTTGTTCCTCTCCTGAGCAAAATAAGCTACACATAATAAAAATATATCTCAGAACCCTATTCCTAGAAAAGGACCACCTCAGAGTCTTCCTTTGAGAGTATCTGATTCCTGTGGACCGCACCATTTCACAGTAACCCCCCGAGAATAAAAATTCTAATTTGGTGCATATATATAATGTATGCAAGTATCTTTCTGTCCAAAGGATATTTAAGTTGTAAAGACTGTATTTTGTTGACACATACTTTGTATGTGCAGTTTTATATATAATATATATATATGTATTGTAAAGAAAAGTTGAGGTAAAAAGACCTGATTTAATAGTGGGTTTTACTATGTTTTTTTTTTTTCCTCTCTAGGTTGTAATTTAATAATCTTCAAACAAAATGTTTATGAAAAATGCCAAAGATTCTAAACCTTATCATCCCGTGTCTGTTTTTCTTCATATTATATCTTCCTGGGTTGCTTTCTGGCTGAGCCAGATTTCTGCATGATTTGATTTACTTCCAGTTAATGAAGCTGGCTGGAAAAGAGCCTTGCAGAAATTATAAAAGCTCCAGTAAATCTCTTAGTTGTACATACAATAGATACCCAAGAACCTCTTTTGTTAAACCAGTTACTCAATCTTCTGTGTAAACAATGCGTCATTGTCTCACTCCCAACTATCATCTAGTTTATCATAGTCTGTCATTTTGTAACGACCTAAGTCAGACATTTTTAAACAGACATGTGAGATCTGATCAGTCATTTGAATGAAAACTTTCAGCAGCAAAATAACCCCTTATTTATTTAAAAGTGGAACCAATACTTTCTTGTTGTTCTTTTGCTATAGAATTTCAAAATGAAATAATCTGCCCAACAAGAAGGCATCGTTAGTTAGACTTATTCCCTCTGTAGCCTGACTGAAATTCTCAGTGTGAAGTTTAGGACACGAGCAGCAGCTGGGATGCAGGAGCAGGACCAGACCAACCTTTAATAAACTATATATGGAAAACAATTGTTAATTGATTAAGTAGACAGCGGACGTTAAAAATGAATGTTGTAAGTGAAATGTGAAGATTTATACAAGTAATCAGAAACTTGTTTCAATATTCCAGAATGCTTCAGATAAAATATATGCATTATGGATTCATGTGTGATAATTAAAGATAATTTAGTAGGAGTGTTGAAGTTTTGCCAAGCTCTCCTGGTTCTCTTCTCAAATCTCACATGCCCAATTCCAGCCCTGCCTGGATGTCTCACAGGCATCTATACTTCAACAGGTCAGATACTCAGCATTATCCCTCCCTCCGTGTGTTCAGGATTCGTAGCCCCATAGTCTCCTTCTAGCTTCCTTATTTCCCTTATTGGCACTGGTATCTCCCCTGGGCATCCCCTTTTTTGTTCCTCATGCTTTTTTCCCTGTCTCCCAACCCATAAAATCTGGTAGTTCCAGCATTGACGTGTTGTCTTGTCCATTTCTATCTTATCCATTTTGGATTGCCACCACCCAAGTTGAGGCCTCTGTAACCTATCACAAGTCATGGCAATGGTGCGAATTACATTATGCCAGGTTAGTACTCATTCGGACTATTCTTTTCACTTGGAACACTTTCTCCCCAGTTTCTGTCTAAATAAATTCTACGCTTTAAAAGTTTCAAAAGTCTCCTGCCCCACGTGGGCTTTCTTAGTTCCTTGGCAGGATGAAATCCCACCCTTCTCTTTTTCACCCCCACATCTAATGTATCTTTCTGGCATCTGCCATAGCTCATAGTTACCAGAGGGCTTGACTCCCAGTGTCCTCCACTGGATAGCACATCCTATCTGGCACCTAATAGACGCTCTGTAAATACACGTTTAACTGACCGAGTCATAGATGTCTTTTCTTTCTCTGCCCTTTCATGTGTGACTCTCGGAACAGAGGGCTGAGCTGGATAGATTAGTGTGGTCTACCCTAGGAAATAGTTTCTTGCATTAAATGCAAAGCTTATATTGTGTGGTATTATTTATAAGCTCTGGCCATGTTAATTATAAACTTTAAAATTAAATAATGTCTTATACTTGGAGAAGTTCTTACCTACACATCAAAGGAAAATATAATATTTATTTGTGGGTGGTAAAACAATTTTTGATTCTTTTTCTTGTCGTTTATCATTTAATAAACATATATTGAACACTGATGATCTAGCTGAACAAAACAGACTACATTCTCTTGATAGAGCCAGACATTAAACAGATAGTTTTGAGCAGTGGCATGACATTCTCAGATTCAAGTTTTAAAAAGAGCATTCTGGCTGCTGTGGGTAGACTAGCAGCTATGAATGTTCAGAGAAGAGCCAATTGTAGTACTCCTGACAAATTGATGGTAGGCTGGACTTTCAAATAGTGGCACTGGAAAAAGAAAATAATAGAATGAAATTCACAGATACTTAGGGAATAAAGTCAGCAAGACTTAACAGTTGCTTAACTCGTAGGATGAGGGAGAGAGTAGAGTCAAGGATGGCTCTCGGTCTTCTCATCTCCAGGTCTAGGAAGATGGTGTTGCCTTTTGCTGAGGGAGGGAATTACAGGATCAACCATGGGAAGAACTGCATGAGCCAAGTTTTAGATGATATTGAATTGGAGGTGCCCGAGAAGCCTCTAAATGAGAATGTCAAAGAGTAACTGAATATATGGATATGGAGCGTAGAGAAGAAATACACCATACTTGTGAGAGAGACATTTAAGGGCCAACTGATTGCAGCTGCATGTTTCAAGAGATTGAACTCAACAAAGTCATATAGATAAGGATGTCAGCTAATATTGTAAATAGAGATAGAATTAGGAGAAAGTAGTAAACATGAACTCGCATAGAATTTAATGATAGAGTGTGTTTCAAGAAAGCAGGTGTGGTCAATAGTGCTAAATGCTGAGATCACATAAATTAAGGACAAGAATAATGACCTTTAATGACATGGCAATTTTGGGGGACCTTGGCAGCGAGTCATTTCAGTGGAGTGGTAGGAATGGAAACCAGATTTGGCTTGAGAAATGAGTGAATGTAGGAAAATGGAGACTCTGCATGGACGTATCTCATGAAAAGTTCCACTGGAAGGAGAGGGCAGAGAGAGAGCAGTGACTAGGAATGAAAGAAGGTGTACAGGATGAGTTTAGAAAGGAAAAAAAAATAGATGTGTCGTGAACTCAGTGTACACCTATCAGCTACAAGAAATTCTTCATGAATATGAGATGAAGTTATCTATATTCGTTATATAAAACTATGCTCTGTCAAAACCCACCTCACTTTTATGTCATATTAATCTAACTTATGGCAATGGAATGCTTGAAAAATTGAAATAGAATATTCTCTCAAAATATTATGAGTAGTCAATTGATAATTGAATGAAAATTGAAGGGTGACTTCTGAAGAATGGCTTAAAGCTTGTTACCTCTTTATATAGGTGTCTTTGTATAAAGCCTGCTGTTCTCTTCTGGCATTTTAATGTAGTGATTTACGTGGGGAATATGGACAGTCAAGCACATAAGAATAGTTAACATTTTATATGACTTATCAAATGCCAGGTACTTTCTAAGTGCTTTAGATATAATAGCTCATTTAATAATTTTAAAAAACTATGAAATTCCTCTAGTTATGGAAAAAAAACCCCACCAATCTTATACAAACTCTCCCAGAAAATAGCAAAATGATAACACTTTTCTACACATTTTATGAGGCCAGTATAATCCTCATTCCAAAACTCAATAAGGTGATACAAGATGGAAAATTACTTATGAAAATCTCTTATGAATATAGATGCAAAATTATAAAAGATATATATACCTCTACACTGAAAACAATAAGAAGAAGAAGATAAATTAAGGGATTCATGGATTAGAAGATTTAATATATTAAGATGTCAATAGATCGAATGTAAACATAGTAAAAATTATGTTTTTTTGTGAAATTAATCAACTGATTCTAAAATGTATATGGAAATGCCAGAGTCCAAGAATAGCCACAGCCATCTTGCAGATGATGAACACTAGCAGATATCGAGATGTATTGTAAAGCTATTGTAACTAAGACAATGTGGTAATTGGCACAAGGGTAGATAAACAGATAAAGAGGCAGAAAAGATCAGAAGCAGACGCACACTTATTTGGTAACCTGTGACCTAATTTATGTCAAAGGTGACATATTTGAAGTGCGTAGGGAAAAGACTTTTTTGAAAAATGATGCTGGGTCATTTTAGTATCCACGCGGATAAAATGAACCTTGACTCCTTCCTTATACTATTCACAAAAATCAATTCCATAAGAACTGTAGATCCAAAACTAAAAGGCGAAATAAAGATTTCAGAAAAAGACAGGAAAAAGTCTTCATATCTATGTGATAAATGAAGATTTCTTAAGCTGGGAACAAGATGCTAATCATAAAGTGAAAATATCGATAAATTGGAGGTCATTAAAATTAATCTTTTCCTCAAAAAATATGGTTAAGAGAGTGAAAGGATAAGCCACGAAGTGGAGGAAGATATGTAATCTCTCTATATAATCAGACAAAGGATTCTTATCCAGAACACATAAAGATTTTCTACAGTGAAAAGGCAGAAAACCCAGTAGAAAAGCAGACAAGAGATGAACACTTTATAAATGAGCCTATCCAAATAAATGGCCAGCAAACATATAAAAAGGTTCTCAACATCATTAATTATCAGGTAAATGCACATTTAAACCACAAAACAATACTACACATAGCGAGAATGGCTAAAATGGAAAAGTCAATATCAAGTGTTGTCAAGGTTATGGGAAAAAAAATTCTCATACACTGTTGATGGATGGGAATGTAAATTGGTACAACCACTTTGGAAAACTGTTTGGCAGTATCTATTAAAGCTGACTGTATGCATACCCTGTGACCCTTCCCCCAGTTTCACTCTTAACTATATAACCAACAGATGTGTGCATATGTTCAATAAAAGATGCCCAAGAATGTCATAGCAGCACTACTTACATAATTCCAAAAATGGAAACTATATATCCATCAATATCTGAGTTGATCCATAAGTTGTGACTCTGCAATGG